CCGAAGATTTGTTATTTCTTAACAATGCAATATTGTTTTTAATATTTCTCTTGTGTTTTCAATTTTATTAAAAGACGATCATTACTAACTAGGAGACTTGGTAGGAGGTCTCTTAAATTGGGTACATACCATGTGCAAGATTACTTACTGTATATGAGAGAACAGAATGGCATTGCCGCTGTGCGGCTGCTGGTTGGGCTCGAGAGAGAGCCCATAAGGCACAACGGAACGAGTGAATTCCGTAAGAACGATCGGTGAGCGCCATCTATCATTATGAGAGAACACTTTCTACTTCATTAAATCCTGCTCAAGACAAGCCATCGACGATACAGTTGTGCTTTATGACGAACCTTAACTATACTTGACTTCTCAACCGACTGCGAAACACCTTTCCAATGTAAAACTCATGTAAATATTGACATGATCCCTCCTAAGAAACTCTGTTTCGACAAGTAAAAGTGTAAACAGTAAATATTAAATAGCTCGAGGACACTTTCAAACTTGACTGCGCCATTAGTGGCTGAAAATTTATTAAGAATAGTTTTTAAAACAAAATCCTCCTTCACAAGTAGGAAATGGTGTTCGATTGTTTCACGTTTATACTTTTACCCGTAATTTGGTTACCAGTAAACGCCCTTTCCACGCATTGGCTTACAGCAGTTCGTATTCCTCTGATTGGCTCATAGGATAAATAGGGCAAGGCAATTGCGCTCGCGTACAGCATGAAGCCCACTAGGCAAAAAATATATTTCTCTGAAAACAAGGTTTACTATACCTTGAGTGTTTAATAGTTCGGGGAAAACGACAACAACTATCTACCAGGCCTGAACAGTAATATAATATCAGAAGACGACTATAACTCTCTTCCATTTTTCCCCTATAGGCATGCTTTTCAATTCTTCGCCATGTCTGCGCATCCCCAAGTTCTCAGTAATTCTAAGTTATTGTAGTTACATCTTTTGTTTGTAATTCAGGCCATTTTCGAATTTCTTGTTGATGCCTGCAACAATATTTTCAATGCGATTTTCTATCCTACTTAAGGTGGAAAATTCTTCACTTTCCTAATATCAGGAATTTTGATGGATGTTTCAGTTTCCATAAAGAATTCTGAACTGCTCATCACTGCCTTGAGGGCATACAGTGAGGTTCATTTCTATCATTCTAGTTGAGAAGCACCGGGAGGTCTTTTCGCAGATGCGCAGTAATATGCATATGCAGTCTTCAGCCAAAGTACACATTTTGCATTTTGTGAACCACACATGGCTATAAGGCAACGGTGGGGTAGGGGACCGCAGTTGACTGTCGCAGAATGTGGATCGTGTACTACGGGGAAGTTCGTGACTGGGGCAGCACGCCGGACAGTAAGTTGATGGAAGACGGTCCATGACAAAAACGGTACTTTCGAGTAAAGTGATGAATGTTTAAAGATACAGCATCCAGCTGGATACTCCATGGCGCGCCATCTTGAAGGCATCCCTGACCATCGAACAACTGAGCTCATCCCCGGGCAGACATTTCTGTTTTCCCTCAATTCAAGGCCTGTTTACCTACGGTTTTCGTTCATCCGCCCTTGGATGCAACCACCAGATTTCCCAAGTACATACATCAGCACACGATCGCAGTCCACTGACAGCGGACTGGGGTTCTTCTTTCTACCTTTGCCTATAAAATAAGCAAAAATTTGGCAAAAAGTATTCCCCTTACTTTAAAGGTACATTTTAGGACGTAGTTTTCCAGAATGTGGTCATCTGAAATGAAACGTTTAAGTATCCTCTCCCAGAATTAGAAACCGACTGAAAATGTGTACTCTTTATGCAAGTTTTATTATGTGCCTCATGCAAGTGAATAAAAGCCTATTCGGCCGAAAAGCAAGAACATTCTGCGCACGAATTAGCCAGGCAGTATGCTGCATGATAATCAGCATTACAGACCCACTTAAGTAAGACTTTATATCCACTACTCTACTTAAAACTTACAGACAGCCCTTCGTGAGGCTGAGCGCCTGTAATGCACAACTGGAGATCAAAACTTCAAAACTTAATGACCGGAATCCGGAACAACTCGAAAACTGTAAAATGCTTTCCATTAGCTCACCGCGCTTTGCAAACGATTTTCTTCCCTTCAAAGTATCTTTCTAAGTTTTCTTTATTAGCGGAAAAGACTACATCAACTTTTCGCTGTATCCAGGATCCACTGCCGGTAACGGATCACTATTTTAATCACAAAAGGTTTACCATAACAAATTCGACCAATACAAACAACATAACATTATCGGCAGAGAAAAGTGGGACTGGAATGGTCAGTTCCGACTTATTAGCCGTCGTCAGTCAGTCGTACCCAACCCCGAAGTGTGGAACATCTGGGGCTCGATCCCGCGACCTGTCGGTCAGAAGTCAACGTCCCTAACCACTGAACCACGGGCTTGCTGTCCATTCGGTTGTGATCGGGTATATCAACAATGGTAATGGGGAGCTCACCGACCAACTCTCAACTCGATTCTTCCATCGGCGCCTCTAATACGCAGTAGGCAGAACGTGGTGATCAAAATAGAGAACTGCAAACATTTCCATTAGCACACCACGTTATGCAAACGCTTCTCTCCTACTCAAACTATCTTTTTAGGTTGCGTCATCAGTGGAAAGGATTGCAGGTTCTGTATGTACATCAACGTCCCGCTGTTCTCAGGCACTGTCCAATGACACTAACTGTCCCTGGCCATATCTGCCTATTTACGCGCGTGTTTTTCTGGTGAGGGGCACAAAGTTTATCGCAACACATTCGACCAACTCGATTCTCCTATCTCCGAAAAGAAGTTGCGGTAGGCTGTCCATAACCAAATGATATAACACTTTTCTGAAGTAGGCAAGAACAGCAGGATTTATTGGCACCAAAAAATTTCGCGACTGCTCTTCAGCTGCTTCCTGTCGCCTCATAAGAGGGATAACGAGTGAGAACAATACAACAGATTTGAATTCATGCAGCAAATCGATGCGAAGCAGCTGAAGAGCAGTCGCGAAATTTTTTGGTGCCAATAAATCCTGCTGTTCTTGCCTACTTCATCTTCGTACCGGGGACAAAATGCTTCAAATAACACTTTTCAGCATTTCAATTATCTCTTTTTTGGGTCAATTTCTAGACATTTGCCTTTGCAGGCTAGCATCCAAATCGTCCGAAGGCAACTCCCTGTCTGCAATCCTTCTCCTCTCTCGCGACCGGCAGTTTTCCCTCCACCACCCTCATCAATTTTATCGAAGATCAACGCCATTATCCACCCCTCTTAACTTACTCGTCGATGTCCGATTATTGCGCCCCCCGCCCCCATCATTTGGTTTTTATATTCTTTCACTCTCCAAAACTTATTGTTCTGTCGCGTGCGTGCATTTGGTTTTGTGACTCTCTTTAATCCCAGATCGCGTATACCGCCAACGGCAGATGATCATTTCAGTATACGAGCATATGATAGGATTATTTGGTGCAGTCTATTTTCAGCCAACGTGCAATTTAAAAACAGGACGAGCAGCTCCTAGGTCGTCCGAGAAATAAGTTAGCAGTCGTTTAACCACTCTGTCGAGCCTTTGTAATCATAGAGTGGAGCTAGGAAGAAAACGACGATAGGGGGAGGGTGGTTCAAAATAAACCGAAACAAATGAGGCATTTTCGTCTGCCGTAGAAAAATTTTCGGTGTATAAATGGGTAGTATCTTAGCATACTCCACGACTTTACTTTGAAAAAAAAGATGAAAGAAGTAGACACTCGTCTGTGAAACATCCCACAGCAAAGGTTCTTTAGTGATAGAACTTTGAAAAAAGACCGATCATCGGATAAAGAGCTTATTTATTGAGGGTCTTCCTTATGGGCGATAACTGTTATAGACTAGGAGGCTTCATGTATAATGGGTGGGATAACTCACGAAATGTCAACCGAAATGCGTTGTCGTTTCGAAAAGATTGACTAAGTGGAGCTTTAAAATTAATCATCATGCAGTATAATTCAATAATGATTCAATTACCACAGGATGCCGGCTTGCAAACGAACTTTCTTCCGACTGCATGCAAAAATTACACTGTAAAAATAATTACTTCTTCCAATTTTATACTCGAAGGAAGGGCATAATTCGGGTTTGGAAATGTTTCTACTTGTCAGATTTATTTAATATCATGAAACGGCCGTTCATAAGATGTCCTCTCCCTGCGTTCATCAATGTGGCTTGTAAAATTAACAATATAGCCCAAATTCACTGTAAACATTGTAAGAAGACTTAATTTCCTACCGAACGAGTAAAGGATGATTATCTATATGCATGTCTTCCATGATATATATTGAATTTTTAAAGGCATCGAAAATCAATGAAAAAGTGCTTGCTACATAAGTGATCATTTTTATAGTGTGATTTTCGCATGCAATCGGAAAAAAGTTCGTTCGAAAGCCTCCATCCTGTGGTAACTGAATTATTGTGGAAGTATGCTGCATGATGCTTAATTTTAAAACCCTACATAACTCATCTTGTCGAAACGAAAACGCATTTCGGAATTTCGGTTGACATTTCGTGAGTTATCCCACCCATTTTACATGAAATTTCCTAGTTTAGAGCACTTATCGACCATAACGAAGACCCGCTATAAATAAGCTCTTCCTACGATGATCGATCTTTTTTTTTCAAAGTTCTATCATTAAAGAGCCTTTGTTGTGGGATGTTTCGCAGACGAGTATCTACTGTCTTCTTGACTTTGTCTTGACACCGGATCCCGGTGAGGAGTGGGGAAGAGAGAGTGCGGCAAGTGCTGTGCAAGCTCACTATCACTGTAAACTATTTCACGCAACGACAGTCGAACTGTAGTTTGTGTGTGTGTGTGTGTGTCGAGACAAAGAGGCACATAGGTAGCCCTATTCAAGGGTGGCACCGCCTGCCCTCTCGAGGGCAAGGGCCTAGAAAAGGTGGCCTAAGAATTGCTGGGCACCACGCCGTCTGCAGGCTAGCCAGGGCCGCAGATGTCATAAACATGGTCGAAACAATCCAAATCGAAACAACAACAACAACCATACTCATTCTCCTCATCCTACCTCTTCTTCCTCTTCCTCTGCCTATTCTTCTCCTTCGTCGCCTTCTTCTCGACCTCATTCCCGCCGCCCCACTTGTTGTCACCAGACCGGCAGGGTGAGGCCGCTCACTCTGGCAGCCTGGAATGTTCGTTCCCTTTTAGACAATCCAAGGAGCAGCAGACCAGAATGGAGGACAGCGCCAGTGGCTCGGGAACTGGCGCGCTACAAGTTGGACATCGCCGCACTCAGTGAGACCCGATTCTCCGAACAAGGCCAACTGGAGGAGGTGGGTGCCGGTTACACCTTCTTCTGGAGTGGTCGACCCAGGGCTGAGCGACGAGACGCGGGCGTCGCCTTTGCCATCCGGACCGACATCGTGGGACGACTGCCCTGTCTGCCGCAGGGAATCAACGATCGCCTGATGAGCCTCCGTCTGCTTCTCCGGGCAAATTCGCCACCATCATCAGCGTCTACGCTCCGCCGATGTGCAGCCCCGACGCCGCCGCAAGAGAAAAATTCTACGAGGACCTGCACGCCCTCTTGGCGACTGTGTCGAAGGCGGACAAGTTGATTGTCCTTGGTGAGTTCAACGCCCCCGTCGGCACAGACCATACTGCCTGGAGAGGAGTGCTGGATCCCCACGGTCTCCGCGGCTCCAACGACAATGGTCTGCTGCTTCTCCGCACCTGCGCAGAACACTGCCTCATCCTGACGAACACGTTCTTCTGTCTGCCGGAGCGAGAGAAGGCCACCTGGAGGCATCCTCGGTGGCGCCAGTGGCACCTACTGGACTACGTCCTCGTCCGGAGGCGAGATCAGCGGGACGTGCTGGTGACGAAGGCGATCGCGGGTGCTGACAGGTGGACCGACCATCGCCTCGTCATCTCGAAGATGCGTATTCGCCTACAGCCTCGTAGGAGACCACAAGGTAAGCGACCCCCAGGTAAGCTGAATGTTGCATTGTTGTCTTTGCCCGCTCACTATCCCCATTTCAACAACGACCTAACTCAGCGGTCAGACAACGTTCCAATCACTACAGCTGCCGCTGCCGCAATCGCCCGCTTGCCGCAAGTAGATACAAACTTGGACCTCGACCCCTCGCCATCTCTCCAGGGAACCCTCAGGGCCGTGCAGCAACTCTCCAGCGGCAAAGAATCCGGATCGGATGCGATCCCTGTTGAGGTCTACAAGCACGGTGGTCCCAACTAATCGATCACCTGACTGCGCTCTTCCAGGAGATGTGGCGTCAGGGTGAAGTCCCGTAAGATTTCAAAGACAGCACAATCGTGCGTCTGTACCAGCGGAAAAGTAACCGCCAGCTCTGCGACAACCATCGAGGCATCTCCTTGCTGAATATCCCCGAGAAGATCGTCGCTCGCATCTGGAACAGTGGCTCCCTCCGGAAAGCTAGTGCGTCTTTTGACGCCATCGTGGAACTGTCGAAATTATCTTCGCCGCCCGTCAACTGTAGGAGAGGTGTCAGGAGATGCGGACTCACCTGTACTCTACCATCGTTGATCTGACAAAGGCCCTCGACACGGTGAATCGCGAAGGACTCTGGAAAATCATGTTGAAACTCGGCTGTCCGGAGCGATTCATTCAGATGGTGCGTCAGCTGCACGAAGGCATGATGGCGCGAGTCACGGACAACGGAGCTGTCTCAGAGGAATTCGCAGTGACCAACGGAGTGAAGCAGGGATGCGTGCTGGCGCCAACCCTCTTCAGTCTCATGTTCTCTGCCATGCTGATGGACGCCTGCCTTGACGAACGTCCCGGGATCCGCATCGCCTACAGGACGGACAGCCACCTCCTCAATCGGCGACGGATGCACTTCCGGTCGCGTGTATGTACAATTACGTCCGTTAACTTCTATTCGCTGACGACTGCGCCCTCAAAACCATCTCGGAGGGTGACATGCAAGGAGCATGATTCTCTTTGCCGCCGCCAACGAAAACTTTGGCCTAGTCATCATCACGGAGAAGACGGGTTTATGCATGAACCGCCACCCGACGCTGCCTATGTCTCATCCCACGTCAACGTGCACAGCGCCCAAATTCAAGACTTAGACAACTCCACCTATCCCCCACAACACCAAAATCGACGATGAAGTAGTCCATTAGATTTTCAAGACCAGCTAAGCCTTCGATCGCCTGCAGAACCCCCGCTACCATCCTTCACCTCCATTGACTCAACACTCGCTACGACGGCTCTTGTACCCACCACCACTGCGCACAATCCTAACACGCCAACAAACACCAACGTTCCCACTGTCAACGCCAACGATGTGGACTCGATCCATGCCTGTCCTATTTGCGACCGCACCTTCACCTCACACATCGGCCTGGTTGGTCACCTGCAAATCCATCGCACAGAGACTGGCGAACCAGCGCCTGGAACACCCACGTACATACGCCGCATCCACCCTAACTACCCCCCCCCCTCGCCCGCACATCCACCTACCGCATGGACCTATTAGGCCAATTATGCATTAACGAAAACCTGCGGTAGACAATCGCCGGCTACAGCATATCTTCCTCCACCTACATCTTGCAACATCATCGCCCACCACAAACATCCACCTGTCGCCTCCGTGCGACTGCTATGCTGCATTTGTGATCCGAGTCTTAGACTGACACGGTACGCCCAGCACTGTGGCTTGGAAGGCTGCAGCGGCGGTGGTGACGGTTTAGACGGCCCTGCAGTGTTGGAGGATGAGTTCGCCAGCGAAGACTGCCAAGTTATCGGCTGGTACGGACATGAACAGGGAGTTTTCTGGATAGTGTCTGGAGGAGTATGTCCCCAAAATGGGTTACACGGTAGATGTGGTGAACCAACGCAGGGGCGACAGTGCGTTCTGGAAGGCGTTAACAGGAATGCACACCCATAAAAAATGCTAACATTTCGGAGTGCGATGGCAGGCCCACTTGCCGGCCTACATCGCGCCATTTGGTATCCTTGCCATCCTCCCAGCCACTGTTGTTGTTGGTTAAGATACCGGTCAAATATTCGTTTGTTGTGAGCCAGGATGTGTGGCGGTACGCCTAGGTGCGGGTCCAGTCGTGCTAGCCGCCTGCTCACCCTCCCACGTTCGATCTTCTTTGTTATGTCTTGACATGGGAAGCATGAGGGGGAAGAGGAGAGTGTGCAGCTCCAGTCTGATATCACTCTAACTCGCGCGTAAGTAACCGCGCCTGTTCTCACTCTGTTGCTAAACACTCGGTGGACACCGTCGGTCCTGATGCTCGAACTGTCGACTACTGAACAATTTTTATTTCTTAAGGAGCGCGTTGAGCGTGGTACCGGAGGAACAGTTACTGTTACGATAAGGTAATCTAGTTAGACAAATCGACGAAGGCCCTTTCCACGAGGACACACTACCGACTACAACTTTCAAAAACTATCAAAGCTTAATTGTACGTATGGCCACCAAATTTTGTGTGCGACCACTATGGCAAGATGTCCACGCGCATCAAAAAGTAATGTCAATGCTTTCATCAACAAACCCCGAGGTCGAATGGATGCAAACATTTTGCAGGGTACTGTCCCCCCTCACCGGTCAACAAGTATGATTCTAACAACTGGTTATTACTGGCCGCATGAGCACGGTAGTCGGCGCTATTTCTTAGGCGAGATGTTTTGACTAGTTAATTACTGCTTCTTGCTGTTTTGCTTTCCATGGTGGACGCACCCATCCACTTTTTCATCCTTCAGACAACTAACTCAGACTACTGCGTCGACTGCACGATAATATGCTGGAAAACAGCCTCCTCTCGAGCAAACGATTAAATCGGGTGGGGTCTAGTGCCTTCGTGCTGGACTTCTTGCTTGTTGGCAAATCCAAGATTATTTTTGGGGAATTTATCCAGCGTTAATAAGTGTTGAACAGGCCTCTGGGCTGGCTCACACAGACAAAAGCCAATTAACGCCAAATGTCCGTCAAGGATTTACACATGATGCCTCGGTTTTGGCATCCGCAGGCAGGTGTTTACACAAGTAGAAAACCCTGCTCATGCAACCGTGATTTTAAGCACTGTGGTAAAAAGATAAAAGTGACCACACAGTGTGTGTGACACGCCAACTGAAATTCTGAAACGTGTTTTCGACTAGAAAGGGTCACGTAGGTTGAAATGTGAGATTGGTTGTCGTGTTATATGATTCCGAGTTGTTTCAGTCATGGCAGAATGCGGACGTTTTACCATCCACTGGTAGGCACCATGCTTTTTGAATCATAATTCGCTTAAAATTTCCGGGACAAAAGTGTAAGAATGGGCGTACTGTAGTTGACTTATCTTGTGGGACGCTAACCGGAATGCTGGTTTGTGTTTTTTTAATGAAAAGAATTATTTAGGCAAGTAAGAAGCTTTCGAACCTCCTAACCATAGAAAAACCACACCGCCGTTATAAATTTGGCCGTTTCTATGCCAGACAGGCTCGCCAATTCCTCACATGCAAGAAAGATAACCAACAAGGCCTAATGCTGTCATCCCACATTAGCACGCACATTTTAAAACTGTGCATTTCCTGCTTAGTCTCGCAATTTTAGACACTGAAACTCGCCCGTATAGCCCTACGTCAGATATGAATCCCAACTGTATTGTGGCTGTATAGCCTACACTGCCACCAAGCATATAGGCACGGCGAACATGCTTGCATTTTATCATTTTTTGGAGAAGAGCCGAACTCCATCGGTTGCATCTCTGTAGTCCCCGAGGAGTGACCGTGTTGGGGGGGGTAGAGTTTCCGAGGCCGATAACCACATCCAGACATCTACCCAGGAGGAGTGGCAGCATCACCGTCTTTCCACATTCAAAAGTCAATTAGCGAAGCACTGTCTAATCTCTCCTAATCATCCTATCCTTTCGATGCATCTTTATCCGACATTCTCTTTTAAACTGTCATCTATGAATTACGTGAGCCTGGTAGTCATCTGGTGGATTCTAGGTGGATCACTTAGGAAATCCTGCTTGGGCAGTCAGCTTACCGTATCAGATTTAGTGGATTCCAGACGTTGCAGTCGGTTGGGCGGGTATACTTGACCCAAACGTGATTCCTTCCTCTTCCTGTGGGACCTCATTGCTCAGGTGGCTAGAGCATTGGCTGCACTGAGGCCTTGCCCTTGTGGTCGTGGGTTCAAATCTCACCGAGACGCCGATTTTTTTCCCAGTTGGGTTAATATGAAACTTGACTTTGCCTAACCGACTTGTAATGACCCACATCTTCTGCATTGCTGATTTCCGTGGGACAAAAATGCTCCTTTTTTCATCTGGGAAATAGTAACTGTTAAAATTACTCGTGTCTTTCTTGTTGCTGTGGGCGATCATTTGGCAGCTTCTGCATTAAAGCGACCGTCTGGGGAATTGCGCAGCAGTTTGTAGATTACGTGTGTGACCCGAGAGCGCCCGAGAGCGCGCTACATGTTTGCAAAAGCTTCAGAGAACTGTCTTATTTTGAGAGTTTTAATGGTTAGATGTGGTTATGCAGCCCCAGCTGATGGACACAATTCTGTTAGCGTTGGGGTTAGGGTTAGGTGTTATAGTTGGGGATTCGGGTTAGTGGTTAGAATAAATGTTGGGGTTGGGGCAACTATTTTTCAACCACTCAAAGTACAACCGCGCATCACCAATAGCTTTTCTTTTGCATACAAGTACTTGACCTCGTCGCCCGTGCGTTCCCCGGCTCCACTTGTAAAAACCGCTTTTACTACTGGTCCCATATCACAGGTGACTGGGGTTTGTTTACCTCAGGTGCTGCTGCCTAACCACATCTGACCGTTCTA